GGTCAGGATCCTCCAGCTGGCATAACAGCACACTCCCTGAGGAGTGCAGCGACCAATGCAGCGCTAATAAACAGAGCTTCTGTGGAGGAAGTTTGCAGGGCCGCAACGTGGTCTTCACTTTCTACGTTTACAAGGCATTACAAGATACACACCATGGCATCTGCAGAAGCAGCTTTCGGGAGAAGAGTTCTACAGCACGCAATCTCCCTGGAAGAAGATGACAACCCACCCAGATAAGGGACACTGCTCGTGGAGGTCCCATGCAGATGTCCTCCGCCTCAGAGGGAGAACGACCATTGGACACTTACCGTGAGTGGTCCTTCTCCTCTGAGGACAGGAGGACATCTGGGCCCTCCCGCTGTCATCTTTTCTTCCTGTTCTTACTGTTCTTGTTCATTTTTTCTGCTCTATCTTAGTTACAGGATAGAGTGAGTATTCAATCGTTATAATTGTTCGCAGTTATGTTTTTTATAGGGCAAGGTTAGTTTTTCAGGCTGCAAGACTGCTTTCGGAGTCCCAGAACTGCAGTTGGGATATTCCAAAGGCACCAACAGGGGGGGAAAAATCTACGTCCTGCCTCCCTATTGGCACGGTGGGAATAACCCATGCAGATGTCCTCCTGTCCTCAGAGGAGAAGGACCACTCACGGTAAGTGTCCAATGGTCGTTCTTGACAGTGTTAACAAGCGCTGCTAATCTACCAGTTCACACAGACATGTCACTGGTTCTCTTTCCAGTATGTCAGAAGAGGAACCGTGGGAAGTGACATTGCTAGCAGGTGCTGTTATGGGAACTCAAGCAGGAAGAAAACAGATGCAGTAGCAATAATACAGCATTGCTGTGTACAACAATAGAACACAGTTACATTGAGCCCTGTTACAATAGAACATCAGAGCTTATCTAGACTGACCCTGTAGCTCAATATGGGTCTGATTCTGACATCGCCACACACATACCAGGGCACATGAATGTGCAGGCAGACCAACTGAGTCGAGGAGGACTTTGACTGCCCAAATGGGAAATGAATTCTACCTACCTCCCACTCTTCCGCAAGTGGGGGTTTCCTCAGATAGATGTTTTCGCCACCAGGGCGACCTGCTGTCTTTGGGGGATAGTCTCCTCTACCCCTGGTCCAGAGACTTTCTCTTCCTCTTCCCCCCGCTACCTCTGCTTCCGAGGGTGGTGTGCAAAATCATCAGCGACAGAGCGGATTGCATCCTCATATCCCCATGGTGGCCAAGGCAGCCATGGTTCTCAACCATACTGGATCTGTCAGCAGGGATCTACCACCAATTTCCGCCGGTTCAGGACCTCTTGCTCCTATCCAAGTCTCCTCTCCTATACCACGACGTTCCACGACTGAAGTTGACTGCCTGGACAGTGGTATCAACGGTTTTTCCTCCCGCATAGTGAATGTGTTACTAAACTCAAGAAAGGTCACTACACGCAAATCTTACCATTATAAATGGCTGAAGTTTTGTTCCTTTTTGGGTGCTGATGTCCCTCGAGCCGCTTCCGTGGGTCTCAAGAAGGTTTTTGATTTCCTTCTGTCTCTTGCTGACTCGGGATAGTCACATTCATTGTTGAAAGTTTATTTGGCTGCTCTTTCAGCCTACCATGTTCAAGTTGAGGGATGCATACTTTTTTTTGCATCCTCTTTTCTAAATTTTTTTAAAGGGACTGTTACACCTTTATCCTCCTATCAAACATCTTGTGGACCCCTGGGACCATCTCCTGGTACTTCGCCAACTCACTAGAAAACCTTTTGAGCCACTCACAACTTGCGACTTGAAATTGCTGTCGTGGAAAACAACTTTTCTGGTGGCTGTCACTTCGGCGAGGCAAGTGGAGGAAATACTGGCTTTTTAGGCATGATTCTCCTTACCTGTCATTTTTGCCAGATGGTGTCTGTTTCCTATGCTCCAGCTAAGCTGGGAACTTTTATCACAGCTCAGCATTTGTCAAGGCGGATTGTAGGTCTCATCCGCCTCTACTATCTTATTGCCAAGCAGCCATTACCTGGCCCTATCAGGGCTCAGTCTACTCGAGCTGTTGCAGCCTCAACTGCTTTCCTTCAGGGAGTTCCCCTACTGGACATTTGCAGAGCTGCTACCTGGGCTACGCCTAATACGTTCATAAGGCACTACGCCCTTGATGTCCGCAAGAACTCTCGTTCCAACATGGGACGTCACATCTTATCCTCAGCTTTGCAGTAATGACCTGCCAGCACCCTCCTCCAGGTAGGCCACTGCTTGCTATTCTCCCATGGGTGTGAAGCACAGAGACCACATCGAAGATAAACAGGATGCTTACCCATGGGATTCAGTGCACCTGCGCTGGATCAATCAGCATTGTAGCAAGCTTTAATGGATTTTCGCGCCCAGACCTCAGGCACGTGCAGGAACCCTGACCATGCATGCCCAGAGGGGTGGGTGCGGACATCCCGCCAGTTCCTTCAGACCGCCACAAATCAACCCCAATAAAAACATAGAAGCTGACAGCAGCGGGGAAGGAGGGCGGGAGGTGTGAATGCACAAATGACCACTCGAAGATCACCAGTTACAGGTAAGCAACCTCTTTTTCTGCATCCAGTCCAAGAGTTGCTGCAGGACACTGCGAGGGTGCCGGACGTCAGCCCCGGGGCCAGACGAGAAGGGTGACGACAAGAGGGCGGTTCCAGTGGGGATGGGTGGCATAGGGCTCCATGTGTGAGCAAGTCAGCTGTATGGATAAGGAATACCTTCAGCACATCTGCAGCATTTGGGTTTGGTTAATCAGAAATCTCAGGAACACTTTGAAAGTGCCCCTCCCAGTTAATCTAATGCCAGCTTTTTAAAGAAGTTGGTTATTCTTAATATAAAGTACTTTCAAAAGCTATAGCTGGCAGGTCCCGTCACACAAGAGGCCTCCAGATGATGCTTTATGCCCTTTTTAGAAGAACGAAAAGCCCTCTAAAACAATTGACTTCTGGTGCTGCACCCAGCTCTCCGCCCCCGCACTCCTTCTCTCTAGAGTTGCACTGCAGTAGCAGCGCGATCTTTCCATATGGCCCCACAGAATACAGTGGAAAGATCGCGCTGCTAATGTGGCGCAACTCCAGAGAGAAGGGGTTTAAATTTTAAACCCCTTTTCTCTTCGCTTCCCCCCCCCCCCCCCTTGGCAGGCCGGCTGGGGAAGCAAAAAAAGGGGGGGGGGCATCTTCAAAAGCCCCCCCTTCCTTTCCCAAACAAGAAGCAAATCACCAAGTAGGGGAAAGGGACTGGAAATGCTCACCCTCTAATGATTCCCCCCTAGCTCTTTCGTTGTTATCTATCCTATTCCCTAGCTTTCAGACCTTAAAACAGTCACTGTTGCTCTCTTGTGACTGAAGATCAGGGTCAGTTTCAAACAAAACTCCCAGGCAAAGCAGAAACTGTCAGGAAACCTTTAAACAGCAAAAGAATGCATTCTCAGCAGAAAAAAAATGGCAACAGAGGGGTTCTTAGCAAGCCAAAGAAGAGAAGTGGATTTCAGTGCCAGCAAATTCAAACTCAACAAAATGACTACGGGGCACTTAGTGGTGAGAAAGAGAAATAAAAAGAGTGGTATTTTGGATACAGCTCAGCAGGTGATATTAAAGAAGGAGGAGGAGGAAAAGGAGATTGGATTTATACCCCGCCCTTCACTACCCAAAGGTGTCTCAGAGCGGCTTACAAACTCCTTTCCCTTCCCCTCCCCACAACAGACACCCTGTGAGGTAGTAAACAATTAACGAATTAAAGAATTGTTTACTATATGGAACTGTACAATTGTAACTGTATCTTTAGCACACAATGACATTTTTGGAAAAAAATATGCTAAGAACAAAGTGGTTTACATGATACTGGAAGGAGGATGGAGTGAATAAAAAAACCACACTGTACCAAAATAATAATGATAATGATTTAGACATAACTTTTTTCCTGAGGATTTTTCTTCCTGAGGCTCAGTGAAAATGTCACAGGGGCAACCCAGAAGAAATTTAGTAGATTAGGGATGATTAATTAATCACCTGCAACTTTGTTGCAAATGGAATGCACATTTCCAGCAACATAGTTTCTGGGTGATCTAACATACCATACCACTTGGTCCATGGATTAAAAGCAACCACTAAAGCAGCAATCACATACAAACTGTCTTGAAAGACTTTTGTGTACATTTACACTGAATTGGGTATTATGCTAATAGCCTATTAGGTGTGCTAATTAGCTCCTGCAGCTCTTTTTCTACGAAAGCAGCCGTCTGCTGTGTCAGATCCACAGGCAGACAGGGCGCCGCTTGCATGCGCTGAAGTGCCTGGTGGGATAAATCAGATCGACATAGAAACGTTATGGTTTGGCTCATGGCTCAGTGTAGCCAAACTGTTCAACTATCCCCTTCTTAAATCTAACAGTGAAGTGTTCTGTTTGTGCTGTAATAAAACCGTTCACGTGATTGCTCTTCTCTTGTGTGTTGGAAGCCCAGTTTAACTTGTATTCTTTACTTTAACAGATTGAGTATGAAAAGAAGAAGAAAGAAGATGGGAAACGGGCTCGGGCTGAAAAGCAGCAAGTGTTGGACATGCTTTTTTCAGCTTTTGAAAAACACCAGTATTACAATATTAAAGACTTGGTGGACATAACCAAACAACCAGTGGTAAGTGGCTGTTCTTAAAAACCTGTCTACAGTGTACAGTGTACAGTCTAAATAGTATATTTAGGATATATTTCCTCAAAACATGTCTGTTGCATAGTAGCAGCACGTATTTTAAGTACTTTAGGCAGATTAAAAGCAGCACACTTCCCCAGCGTTTAACGATGACATGTAGTGGCCTGTCTGTAGAGGTTGTTGTATGAACTGCCTGTCCTGGGTCTTAAACACAGTAAGTCTTCACACATCAGGGATTCAAAATAACAATTAAGGAAGATAGAATATGGTTCTTGTATCAAACGGGGCGAAATGGTAAGGGCTTGGCTTGGACATACAGTTATGTTGATTCAGTAGTAATCCTCGTAGCACCTGCACATTTCAGATTCACAGTTCAGGCCTTTCAGAATCAGAGGGAAGGAAGACAACGGTCCTTCTCATCCAGCAGTCTGCTCTTGGCCTGTGGGCTCCCGTGTGCCCATGCAGCTCCCTGGCTTGGCACGCCTTCCCCACGCCAGTCAGTGGAGAGGTCCCATCGGGGCACTTTTACATGCATAGATTGGCTCCATCTGTCGAGATAATGTAGTGCTAGAATGCTTAGCTTCTCTTCTTGCCTTGGAACCTGTGGGGCAGGGACCTGTGCTGGAGCTGCTGTTTTCAGGAAGGGTGCCTGAAGGACTGAGTCAAATAGAGGTGATGAGAGATTTTTTTATTTTTATTTAATTTTCGACTTCTATACTGCTCTGACCCCGAAGGGTCTCTGAGCGGTTTGCACAACTGTTTATACCTAACTAGGGCCACATTATTTGTATGGGGGGTGATAACCTACCAGCACCCCGACCTCGGGCTCAGTTGTTGCTCAGTTCCTGGCTCGGCTGTTGTTCAGTCCGTGGCCGCTCTTTGGCGCTTCTTTTCCTGGCACCCGGAACAGGTCTTAATCCGTGGCTCCTTCTGGTGGGCTTCACCCGGTGCTCGGCAACGCGCCAGCCGCAGCTCTGGTTCCATCCCGCAGGGTTCACTGCGCCGCGTCGCCACGCTACCGCACACCACGACTCCGCCTCCATCCAGCCTCGTGCACGCTGGGTCACCAGGGCCAACTCCGCCACCGCCACCACCATTGCCGCCGGCTCTCCTGCCACACGTCCTCGTAAGGAGGAGGGGTGCCCCCTGCCACCTAGGGGCAGGTACCCATTTGTCTACTTGCGTTTTACACGCGTTCGAACCGCTGGGTGGACGGGAGCTGGGACTAGGGCCGGGAGCTGGCCACGGTGGGTCTCGAACAGCCGTAGTGGCTGTTCACTGTTGTTATTGCAGGCGTTTAACTGAAGTTATAGGATTGATGAGTTAAGTTAAAAAAATAATGTCTCCAAGTCCAGATGGCATACTTCTCCAAGTGTTCTTAAGGAACTCAACATGTGAAATTTCAGTAAAAGGGAGGGGTGCCGTCCATCTGTTTGAGTAATTTCAAATGAGACATATAGTGCAGGAAATATGAAGGTCTGTTAAAAAAAAGAAATATAAAATTTGTGTTTGTTAATAGAAGAGCTATATGTACAGATTGATTAGGTGAACGGTACTGGATTGTGAATGCCTTGCAGACTAAAGAGCAAGAATATTGGATTGTGAGATAAGATTATCAAAAAGGAGCGGGAATGGATTTGGAACAGTATTGGACAAAATGTGGTGAATCTATACATGAAAGAGGGTTTTTAAAATTGCAGTTAAGGTGTTTTACTTGTTCATTTACTTCATTTATACCTCCCTTTTCTCCCCAGCGGGGCCCAGGAGGAGCTTACGTAGTTCTCAGCTCCTCCATCTTATAGTCATAGAATCCTAGAAGGACAGAACTGGAAGGGGCCATACAGGCCGTCTCTGCTCAACGCAGGGTCACCCTAGACTCTAGAGCATCCCTGACATGGGTTTGTTCAGCCGCTGCTTAAAGAGTGCCAGTGATGGGGAGCTCACCACCTTCCGAGGCGACTGTTTCCACTGTGGCACAACTCTTTCCTAATATTCAGCCAGTACCTCCCCACCCTTAATTTAAGCCCATGATTGCGAGTCCTCTCCTCTGCTGCCCACAGGAACAGCTCCCTGCCCTCCTCTAAATGACAGCCCTTCAAATCCTTAAAGAGAGCCATCCTGTCCCCCCTCGACCTCCTCTTCTTCAGGCTGAACATTCTCAAGAAGTCCCTCAGCCTTTCCCCGCAGGGCTTCTTGGTCTCCAGGATCATCCTTGTCATATCTTGTATCCTCTAATATTAAATGGTATTATTGGATTGGTACAAGCAAGATGCCTTGATCTGGCTAGCCCAGGCTAGCCCAATCTCATCAGATCTCAGAAGCTAACCATGGTGGCCCCTGGCTAGTATTTGGATGGGAGACCTCCCAGGAATACCAGGGTCATGATGTGGAGGCAGGCAATAGCAAACCACCTCTGAGAGTCTCCTGCCTTGAGAGCCCCACCAGGGGTCACCATAAATTAGCTGTGACTTGATGGCCAAAAAAAAGCCTAGTGAGATGCTGGTGGTGCAAATACTGCAAATACTGTCCATCTGTTTTGGAAATATCTGTTCATTTTGGGAACAAGTATGAATTATTAAAGACACAAGGGGATATGACTTCCCAGTGGAACCCACGTTCATCTTCATGGCTTCTGTGCAGTCCCTCTGCCATGGGGATCTTTCCCACCCAGCCATCCAGCTCACGATGGGCTGGGGAGAGCGCTCCTGATCTCAGTTCTCCCTCTGCCAACACAGAGACGGAAGGCTTTCCTCCCTCCTGCTATACTCACCTCTGGGGGGGTTTCTTGTGATTTCTCTTCTTTTTCAACTTCTCGATCTTTGTTTCTTCTCTCTGGTTCTTTCTATCTCTTTTTTAAAAATAGAACTTTGTTTTTTTCCGTTTTCTGTATGATGGCACTATTCAAAAAGTGTGCTGAATGCGGCCTCAAAATGGCATCGTTGGGTAACCAGGATCATTGTCTCCAGTGCCTGGGTTGAAGCCCATGCTTGCCCGATTTGCAGGCAATTCACTCCAGCAGCTCGCCCAGATCGAGCTTCAAGGTTGAAAGCTGCCCTTGGAGAAAAGGCTCTGGTGGCTCCAGACAAAGATCAGACCCCTGCCAAGGAGTCGGAACTGGAGTGTAGGGTCCTTACCCCCCTTTTGGGATCAGGGTCCATATTGCAACCGGGCCCTCTATCAGCGTCAAAGAAATCTTTGGCTTCGTGGAGTTCCTTGGAACTACTGCCGCAGAAGGAAAAGTCGCAGTCCAAGCATAAGACCTCTCGCACTTCCTCTGCCTAGTCAGGAGTGGATCCATCCTCCACCCAGTGACTTCAGACCCCAACCCTGACCTCGAGATCATCTCCTCCTCCTTCCTCCAATGAGGAGGTGATTGAGGTTCCTCCACAGTCCCCCTCTGCAGCTGCCTCACCCCACCCCGCAGTGAAGCAGCATCGCAGACCTTTAGATGATTCCTTGGCTCCGCACAACTGGGGATCGCCCCCTCCACAGTGGTTCCAGTATGCTCCACCACCCATGTACTGACCCTATGCAGTGAGAACAGCAATTGCTGCCTCCCATGGAACTGAGCCCCCGGCCCTGTCACGCCTCCATCCTTAGGTGGTTCCGATGCTCCCTCACAGCCGTCGCCTGACAAGTACCTTCCTGTTTCTGTGAGGGAGGATCTCCACCTTTATGCCCAACAGTTGGACTCATATGGCTGAGTCCCTCCACCTTGATATGATCTGCTCAGAACCCACTGCTTCTGATCCTGTCCTGAAGACACAGGATACGGGCTTGGTCACTGCTCCGATGCTCCAAAGCTTACAGTCCTCTTGTGGATTAAAAACTGGTTAAATAGACAATAGAGAGTGAGTATAAATGGGCAACTTTCACAGTGGAGGGTGGTAAGCAGTGGGGTACCGCAGGGATCAGTACTCTGTCTGATGCTTTTTAACTTGTTTATTAATGATTTGGAGTTGGGAGTAAGCAGTGAAGTGTCTAAATTTGATAACACGAAGTTGTTCAAGGTGGCGAGAACCAGGGAGGATTGTGAGGCACTCCAAAAGGATCTGTTGAGGATGGGCGAGTGGGTGTCAACGTGGCAAATGGGGTTCAATGTGGCCAAGTGCAAGGTGATGCACATTGGAGCCAAAATAAATACACATTGATGGGGTCTGAACTGGCAGAGACTGACTAAGAGAGAGATCTTGGAGTCGTAGTAGATAACTCAATGAAAATGTCTAGACAGTGTGCAACTGCAATAAAAAAGGCCAACACTATGCTCGGGATTATTAGGAAGGGAATTGAAAACAAATCAGCAAGTATCAAATGCCCCTGTATAAATCAATGGTGTGACCTCATTTGGAGTACTGTGTATAGTTCTGGTCAGCACACCTCAAAAAGAATAATATAGCATTGGAGAAAGTGCAGAAAAGGGCAACTAGAATGATAAAAGGGTTGGAACGCTTTCCCTATTGTTAGCCAAACTGTTTTATCTACAACAGATGGCAAACTAAATTTAATATGGGTTCCTGCTAAAGTTTACGGAGGTCCGATTCGCCCCAAGAATGCCCCAGTGAGAGAGTCAAGACTGGTGAATGCAAATCAATTTGTCTTTTACTGAAGAATATCAAAATCGCATACACACAAAACAGAATCTCACACACATACAATCAAGTTCCTTAGAAGTACAGAAATAGAAAAATAGTTTCCTTTTACTTATTAGGTAGGTAGGTACACGGTTTATACTTATCTTTCCTAAAGCCTTGTCTGTTGCGATGAAGAATTGAGGGGTAAAGAAAATAGAACCTAGGGGTATTTCTAACTCACACTGCCAGAACCAGCTGGCAAAGTGTGGACCTCCTTGGCTGCGCACACCAAGAGATCAAGAATAGACAAAGGGTTGTTGGATAGAAAGCTGGACTTTAGGGGATAAAAGTAGACAGAGGATGATGAAGGGTTTGCGGCTTGCAAAGACCCAACACATGGTCTTCACTTTTTATAGT